ACAAGCGCCGGGACGTGTACATAGCCGGCTTCTTCCCCTACGGCCGCCACATCCCCGAGAGCCGCGTGGGGCGCGGCGTCATGCCGTCCGTCATGCTGGCCGTCGACCACATCAACGAGAGCCCCAACGTGCTGCGCAACTACATGCTGCACATGTACTGGAACGACACGGAGGTGAGCTCGCCCTTCCTCCTTTAGTTTTCTTGTCTTGCTTTGCAGCCGGGACTTCCTCGCGGGGAAAGACGGCAGGCCAGCGAAGAAACGACCTGATCGTGCAACGACTTGAAACTAACACAGCACATACATTTTTCGCGTTATTTGTTACGACTTATCAATATTACTCTAGCACGTGTTACTTGCACGTGTTCCTTATGAATATTACACTAGCACGTTACACTAGCACTAGCAAGTGTTTCCAACCAACAAACGTGCTTTGTCGTCGCGGAGGTTGGAATAAAGGCTCTTCGAGTCAACACACCAGGCGAGTTACCGCAGCGCCATCGGCGGCGAAACTCGTTGCGACGGTGAAAAATATCTTCGGTAAAAATTTAATTGTTTAGCATACATGATATTGAATAAAACATCTATTATAAATATTGTAGTACTTATAAAATGTTCTTACAAGCTTTCAAATTACACAGATTTCACCGAAGAAAGATCCAGCACGACTTTTTATGTTCTTTGCTGTACACGAGGAAACATTTAAAGAGAAATGGAGTCGTTTTAGAAAAATATTGTATAAAAATTGCCTGTTTCACACAAAATTGCGCGGACACCATTAATATTTTTGAAAAATTATACAACTATTTCAAGAACTGTCTCTGAACAACAGATTTCATTTACTAATCAATCTTTAATATCGAATTTGTAGGAAGATACCGAAAAAATTTAAACCTTTGCAAATTGAAATTTGTAAGATACTGCAACAAAAACCAAACCTGCAGCGTCTTAAGCGTTCTTTACGCAATCAGAGGTCAAATTGAATTTTAAAAAACTAGAACAATTGTTTAGAAAATTTAAAATATGTTAAGGCTTCACATAACGTTTTCTAAAAAACCAAAGTATCCGTTTCCAACTCGCAGGGACACGAGTTGCTTTAAATCGATCTGGGAATATAAATTTTGGAAACAAATTGTCTGAACGGTTTAGACACCAGCGTTGATCACATACTGGACAGGCAGCCAGAAGTTGCAAACACACACACACATACACGGTGCACGTTGCAAGCACACACACTCTGTGACAGCGCAAAACAGACGTTTAGCCATCAATCGATTTTTCGGCATTCAGGGCTCACAAATCATGGATGCTGAGAATGATGAATCTGTTAGAGGAAGCAATTTACTACATATTGGAACAAAGTATCTCCACTTTTGGTTAACAAGGCCCGCATTACGCGTTTTCCTGTCGAAAAAACGCCACAACATAGCAATACTTTCATTGCTTTAAAGTATTTCGTCATGTCTCGTTAGGTATTTAAATACGTCCCGTCTTAAAAAAAGAAATGAAAGCAACAGGGGTAGAGAAAAATTGACGGATTTTTTGTGGGCGGCGTTAAGAATCATTGTCGTGATCGTTGATAACACAGCCACATAAAAAAAATTGTGTTCGTGTCTGGGGATCAGACCATGTTTTCTATATATTATGTGGGTCGCTAAAACTGAGTCTATAGTTCATTTAACTTCATCACATCAGATTCTTTAATTCAGATTAATTATAATTGGTAGAGAAGGTGGCATTAGCCCCTGACGTGACAACACTAATCGCGTTGTGGTAGATTGCCTATATTGTTGACCAGAGATCACTAGGCTCCTCTCCAAACAGTTTTTTAAATTTTTTTGAGGTTGTAAAAAATCTGATGTGGCGAAGTTAAATGGACATGACATTCGATTTTAGCGACCCCAAAAACGTATGAAACATGGTCTGACCCCTCGGTTAGAAATATCTTTCATTTTTATATTTTTTAAGTTATGCGAAAAACCTGATGTGTTGGAGTAAAATGGACACCGGATTCGGATTTAGCGACTCCAAAAACATATACATAGTCCGACGTGTTTTGATTCCCACACATGAACACAATATTTTTGTGTAGTTGTATAATGCAAAGTTCCCCCACCAAAAGTGGCGGTTGAAATTCTATCTTCCCAACCACACAGGCAAACTTGGACACCCTTCGATCGGGGAGGGGCGCGTTGAGCAATCGCTGCTGTCAGAATCTTAGTGTCTATGTGATTGGTGCAAACTAGCGTAGGGCAGGAAAGACACCGCGGGGGCCTCCCTTGTTTACGTATGAGGTGGAAATATTGTCATCTTTCCCAGCCGAAGGAGAGCTTTTGTCTGCGCGTACGCCTTGACGAAAAAATGTTTCTGGTCGGGAGTTTTCCGTCCAGAATCACTCTCAATAGACCAGCAAATATTAAGCATTATCAACAATTATACTAAATTTTAGCAATCAATTTTTCAATCTGTCAATCTGTTATATAAAAATGTAAAAGGCACAATTTGCGGATCTTTTCTGGCCATTCTAGATCATATTTCAAGGAGATGCGAGATGATCAATAATAATGTTAATAATAATTTGTGTTAATAATTAAAAAAAATTACTATTAGGGAAACGCCAGGTCTTAAATCGCACGGGAAGCTTAAAGCCGAATCCTTATAATTTTCAGTAAATATATTTTCCTTATCCATCTTTTCAGACAGGAAAAATAATGGCTTCTGTCGGTACTGTGTCCTCTTCCTAGTCTAGCCCGGCGTGGCCTGTTGTGACCTGCTCTGTCCTGCACTGCTCTGCGCTAGCCTTCCGTGGCCTGCTCCCCCCCCCTGCTCTCTTCCAACGTTCTCGCCTCCTCATTCCTTGTTTGACGCCGATACTACCCGCCTTACTGCCGGGTTGTGCGTGAAGTCGACATTTCAAAGAATTATACGTGTATTTTCATACTAATGTTCATATAACACCCAGAAACCTTAAAACTACACCTGCAGACATCGGGAACTTCCAGCTTTCAAATGGCACCTGTGATTGACTGAGTAGTTCACTCATAAAAGAGATTTTTACATAACACGTTATAGAAATAAAAATATATAGAACAATAATTCAACAACAACGATAATAATAATAATGTAATAATAAATAATAATAGTAATAATAGTAATAATAATAATAATTTATTATTATTATTATTATTATTATTATTATTGATTATTATTAAATTTAAATAAGTCTTAGAAAATAAGAAGCTTTTTTCTGCTTTCACTTATCTTAAAATATAAAATTTGTCTTTCAGAAATCAAAACAAAATTTGAAATTTATTCAGAAATGTTATTTCTGCAATTCTTTGAGGGAAACTTTGAAACATCTATCAGTTGTGTCGACGCCCAAATCTGCTGAATAGGAGCGTCGTGAAGTGGAATTTGGCAACAGTAATCCCCTCCTCATAACGAGCCTTTACCTCCGCCACACCTCCACCTCTCGCCGCCCCCCGCCGCCCGCCGCCCCCGCCGCCCGCCGCCCTGCCGCCCCCGCCGCCCCCGCGCTCGGCGTGTGCTCAAAACCATGATTAAAATAAATTATTTGAAATTTGTTATTTCCATCTTTGGCAGAATTATCTTTTCTGCGCTCCGCTCGACACGCCGTCAGGCTGGTAAACGTTTGCCTTCACTTTCTAAAACAGGGGAAAATGGCCAAAGATCGCAAATCTCTGCGAAATATATTTGCGTCACCCACGTGGGCTAGAATGCCACCTGATAATCCATTGTCAGGGTCAGTCAAGTGAGTTCAATCAGAAGCTAGAAATTTCCTCAGTCACGGAAACAATATTGTACGAATAAAATTAACTCATATTCGACACTGTTTCAGAATTTCTCGAAATAAACCTCAGTGGCGCGCTGATTAATGTGCCGCATTCGAATCTGGCGGGCTGTTCGAACCCAGTTTTCGCACGCTTGGAGAGTACGAACCGCTTCACTTCAACACTGCACAAAATTAACTGTATGAATATCGCTAATAGAGGAAGAATTGACTTCATGTATAGATAATATTTTTTACTCAAAACAACTTGAAAAGTCAAGTTTTAATTTTTCGACGTTTCCTTCCCGGACATTACACACATCTACTCATGTGGTGGAAGAGATGAGTAACCACTGTGTTCGGGAACACTGTTTATATGATCACGAACAGACTGCATTGCATTATGGCAGTTCTTAGGATTCCTTCTTCCATTTGTCGTGGGGTAATGAGACCTGCCACTTGCGACACATGGCATTCACTCAGTTGAAATTCTGTTTTGCATACCTTGATTGGTTTCTCGTTTACCTTGACATAATATTGTGCCGTAAAATAGCGACTGAATGTTTCCTTCTTTATTTTGAATTTGCCGTATTTTACGTGGCGAGACTCGGGCCATCAGGCCCGCCCTTCCGTCTGACCACACAAATTTCCCTACGCTCCTTTCATCAACTAGCAGAGGAAGGAGGTATTTCTTGTGTGAGAAATAAGCGATTTGAATTTAGCTCAGAGGCGTCATTTAGGCTTGAGGATATTTTACATGCAAGTAAATCTACTAACATGGGACAGCGTACGAAGGATTTCTTCTTTTCTTTCTTTACTTTTTTAGGGTGTCTCGACTTTTGTCTTTCGTTAAAATGCTCCCAAAAATATAAACGTTTTGTTTATCAAAGTTTAAAAACGTGTTAAATATCTTCTATTCACTATTGTTAAATGTTTCGTGACATTTCTTTGAAAGGTTTAAGGTGGTCTTTACTCATGTTCAGAAATGTTCTTCGAGTTTTAAATTTTATATTTCTTACCTACATTTCTACGACGATTTCTTGTATTTCGTTCATATGAAAATGATGTGCGACATCGTCATTGACCTTTCGGTGATTTTGTTGGTGCAGGGGTTCCACTCACTGAAGCACTTACTTTATTCTCAAAGTACTTTACTACTGAATAATTTTCATAAAATTTATTTAATAGAATGACGCCACCTCAAATCTGCGAATTTATGATTAACCGGCCAAAGAATGGGTCTGGTGAAGGAACGGAGTTTACATGGGGGAATATTCCAAATGACGCACTTTATTTAGCTAGTTGAATGTTGTTTAACGTCAAAACCAGTATAAACCTATGTGGCGTAAGGAGGAAAAGTAGAAAAAGTGTGCGCTGAGCTCCGTTCCGTTCTGTAGGCCTGTCGTTTTGTGGCGGTGAAAGTGAGGACCTTTAAGAGACGGGTCACGTTGAAACACGCGAGCTTCCAAAGAGATGATCAATCTTAGATTAACCTCAATGTCATTTTTGTTAGTCCATCTTCCAGGAGTTCTTAGCACGGCATCCTCACTTAAGTTTTCTCTGTTTAGTTCCATTGTTTTCCAGCAGGAAAGATGGTTCTGTTTAGACTTTTGAATTACTATTCAACTTCCTATTAGTGTAAATCACAAGTTTGTGCTAATATTAATTATAAATTGTTTTATTACTGAACTTTCGCGATTTATTTTTACAATTTATTCAAGTCATCCTTTTTCGCTTTTTACAATAGTTATGAGTGAATGGTTTTAGGATAACAAGAAAACGTACATGAATGATACGTCATCCTCTAAGTTATAGAAACTTGTGTTCGTTTCTTGACGAAATAAATGAAATGAAAAGAGATACTCCTATGCTACATGATACTGAAATTAATTTATGTGACTAAATGTGTCTGCATGCAATTTAAAACATTCGTAACTGTAGTGCTCTCCGAGAATTAAATTCTTCATGGAGACGGAAGGTTAAAGGCTATAAATATTTCAATTTGGACAAAATGGGTTATAGAACTATGGTATCCCAAACTTTCTCACAAATGTATATGATTGAAACATTGCGAAATATAAATTATTGACCATTGATCTCTCGGTTTCACAACAAAAAAAATTCGCATATTGATTGATATCCTTATTCTTTATTCTGATACGCAAACTAAGTGGAGTTAAACAATCAACTAATATGGGCAGATTGATGAACATTTTAGAATACTGAAAAATACGCATTCGAAAGAGACCGTGTCGAGGAAGTTAGGACAGCGCTAACATTTCTCCATTGGAAGCTGAACCAAGGCAAAGGAAATCTGTTGCAAAAAAGTCAATCGTATGAATTACAAATTAATTTTTTTGGATGATTTGAATACTGTAGGAGAGTATTTTGTTAATTTATATTTTTTACGTAGTGTTAGTTTTGTTAGTGGGTTTTTATGAATGGTGAAAGGAGAAAAAAATATTTTATCTTTAAGAAATATTTGTAATGAAGTAATTCTCAGTGAGACTCTAATCATTCCATAACATGTAACGTCTGTATGATTTGAGCTCTGATCATAATTTGTCATAACAATCCCTTAATCGAAGAGAGTATGTGGTTTGGATTTGATGTAAGTGTATGTTGCTGTAGAAGTTCGAAATGTGCCTGATTCGCGAATTCGTCATTCAATTCGCACGTTGGCCAGTCGGCTTGTGTAAAGCTGTATTAATGACGATGAACGAATCATTTGGGATATCATCCGGCTAATAGTTGCATTAGCCATAGGCCGCTGACAAAAGTAAGGTGATTACCCGAGGGTGATGAATCTTCTGTGTTGTGGGAAATATCTAGAATATCATTTCGTGTATTGCCACGATTGTATTATTAAGTTTGGGTAAGTGGTTCGCCTGATTGTTTTGCATATTATTACTTATGGTTTAAGAACATGCTGCCTTAAACGTTTTTTAGATAGGAAGTTTTCATAAACAGTAAAAAATACAGAAAAGAACTACCAATCTGAACCCTCGAAATTTGGTGTCATTGAAATAGTTATTGAAACAGTAATACAGTTGGGTAGTTTTAGCGGCACATTTTATAGCTGAAGAGAGTTTTGGTCTGTGAGGCGGGTGATAGTCAGTTTAGGGATGAGGGATTGGCAAAATACATAAACCCAGGTAGCCCTTCGTAAATTTGTTTCAATTGGCGGCTCTCTTGATTTTGTGTGGCGGGGTAAATCTTTCATCAAGTGGATTTGTTTTTAAGAAAACCTGACTTTGTCCGTGGTCAAATTCTCGCAGCCCTCTCCAGAATTATAAAGTTATTTAATGAGTTTCCTAGAGCACTTTGGTGGGAACGTTTGATATAAAAGAAATATTAAAAGAAAGAAAAAACATCACACTGCATTTTGTAAATATTGAATGTTCGCATCACTTCGTCCCGTCATTTGTGACCGGTTAGCCCTAGTTCCGGTATAAAAATGCGTTGCGCAGACTCAAGATTGTGTTCCCCCAATCAAAAAGGCCGGAAGCCGGGGAGTCGACGTCCGAAATTGATGGAAATGCCAAGCGAAAGGGAGCTGAGATATAAAAGATTATGTTACGTCGTATCATGTAAATAGAAATTTACGTCTGACACTTTAAACGACACACCTTATATTTTACTAGCTTTAGAAACATGTCACCAGCAGTATGCTATTCTTTTATTACATATTTATTATTCGTTGTCACGGTAAACTACTTTTGTTACACTAGATATCTTACGATGTCTAGGTGAAAATCATCCTGCAAAAGACCGAAGTATGCTTCGAAGCTGTTTCTTATTTAGTCTGTATCCACCCATTTTGGAGAATGTGAACATAAACAGGCTAATTCGCGAATTAGCCAGATTTAGAAATGGCAATAACGTATGCGACGATATATGTAATATACCGCGGAAGACCGAGCATCAAAAATTGGTGGAATGAGTAATGACTCCGGTTGGAACAGGTCGCAGAGAACGAGGCTGTAAAGCTTTCAGCGCCATTTCCTCAATTCGTCTTTCAGAGCCCGTCCGCAAATTTCAAAGAAGCAATTAAGGGAAAGATCTGAACTAATGACTTCTAATGACCAGAACGTTTCGCCGCGGTTCGAGGGAGTTACAAATGAATCGATACTATCATGATATGGCATACATTTTATGGAAATTGAAACTTTTGTTCATATGAAATTACAATATTTAAATCAATAATTAAGTAGTTACTTATATCTACTCATCTCACTCAGAATGGGAAGGTGCAGCAAAAAGCAACATTGAAGAAATACAAAAGTTCCAAATACATTTTTTCGTCCCATAAGAGCCTCTTGGTTGATTTCAAAGAAACAATGAATTGTAACTTATTAAATAATTCCATTAGTGGGATATCTTAAAAATTCTGTGATGATTAGTGATGCTGGAAAATCACATACTTTCTCTTATTATGTGTAACCGACCGAGGTTGTAGTATTAAAATATTACAGTATTGTATCTACTTATTCTTCAGCCATCTCGTCTTCTTCGTTGCTACTTGTCGTCAGAATTCAAATTAATATGTTAGGAAAGAGATCCCAGATCTCGAAAACTTGTGTACAAATTACGTTTCTCCTCTCA